ATAATATACGAAAGCAATAACATTATCATCATCATGAAATCATATGAACTGTATAACATAATACTTACCACGCATTTGCATTTCAATCATTACACAACATATTTTCCTCATTTATCAGCCTACTAGTATCCATGGGGATCCATAGGGGTCCCGCTACCCGTGAACCCTTAACATTTATAATCTGATTCCAAGGCCGTCCCCATACCCCGTCCGGTATGGGCGCCAAAACCACGAACCTCAATACCCCGTCCGGTATGAGGGTAAAATGGGTCGTCCCCATACTCCGTCCGGTATGGGCGCCAAAACACATAAAGTCTCTATACCCCGTCCGGTATGAGAGACCACATTCCCAGTAGGGTTCTCCACGGACCCGATCCGTCCACCATCTCCCAAGATATCTACTTAGGCTATCCACATTATCCACAATCAATTCACATAACATTTTTGACATTTTTCTTGCTCACAATCAACCAAACACACACAACACGTAAACCAGTAATTTATGCCAAATAAAACAACGCACAACATCAGGTTTTCAGTCATTCAACCCATAGTCAATAGAACAGTGATATATGCACACATAACTATAAAATGAAAACACCAGACATCATACTGCATTTAGAACTGTGAAATAGAATAAACAACAACTGACCGACAAATACACCAGACTCGGGCTCCATTAGCGACCTTAAACAATTCACACATCTATTGATTCATAAAATACCGTTTTATCATTTATTGAACTTTAATGTCGTGATAGGAAATAGGGTGAGGGGTCCTTACTTGTTTCGGGGTCTGAATACGGCTCTACAGTGCGCCTACAGGCTGTCCCTAATTTTTTCTGAATTTTTTCTGGGGAGCTGAAACGCACTATTAGTACCTGCACATGTCCCAAAAAATCCCAAATTAGACATAAGGCCCCCTTTCGACCAATATCGCAATTCCGGCACGGCGGCTCTGCCGTGCTTCGGTGACGGCGGCGGCGATTCGCCTCGGGTTGGCCGTTTTCGGCCGAATTCGGCCACACTTGCATCGGTCCCTGCGATAGAACAACCCTAGAGCCCTCGGTGGGCCGAAAAATCGAAACTTACCGGCGGCGGTGCTCTCGGGTGCGGCAGCTCCTCTGGCGTGAGTTGCGTTTTGATGTTTGGCTCCTATCAACCTGTAGAAAAAAGAACGGTGATCACAGTGGTGTAAAATTTGCATCAAACGGAGGCCGGAAAGAGCCTCATCGGAGGCAAAAACCGAGGAGGGGCGCGGCGGTGCTGCTGGGTTTCGGCTGAGTTTTACGGCCGTTTAGCCGGTGGTTTGGCTCCGATTTGTCCATAGGCGGACTCAGCGTCGAAAAACGAGCAAGGGGGAGAAAAATTACCTCAATCGGCGATCGGAAACTTCCCCGGTGCGGCGGCGGCTGGCTCCTCTGGCGTCTGGTTCTTCTTCTCCGGCGAGCACTGGCGGTTAAGGTTTCTTTGGTCAGGTGTGAGTGGGGGTATTTATACCCTTTGCCTTTTAATTTTGACCGTCCATCAAGATTGAATCTGGGTCGTTCGATCGCGATTTAATTGGGATTAAATCTGGACCGTTCATCGCGATGCAATCTGAGCCGTCCGTGCCTGATTGAATCTGGACCGTCCGTGCGCGTGAATTAGGGTCGTCCGTTCGCGTGAATCTGGGCCGTCTATGCGCACGTTTGATCTGGACCGTCCGTGCGTGCGGGAACGGATCTGGACCGTCCGATCGCGCGCACGCGGATCGCCTCCATGGCCCGTCCCCTGGTCAGCGTGTCCTTGCCACGCGGCACGTCCTTGCCACGCGACGCGTCCTGGTTGGCCGGGGCTGCTGACCGAGCCGCTGACGTGGTGCTGATGTGGCACAACTTTTCTAAATTACGTTTTGACCCCCGATTTTCGATTTTCTTTTTAAAAATACTCCCAGAATCTAAATTTTCACCTTTTTTTTCCCAAAATCAATTTCAATTAAATCCAAATAATATTTTTACCCAATTTTATCATTATAATTATTTTTATTTTCATTGAATTAAATTAGATTAATAAAGTCTAAATAAGTAATAATAAATAATAAATCATTTGGG